TTCTTAATATCTATGATATCTCTTATCTCTGTGCCTCATTATTCAACTTTATAATTCCCATGGCTGAGCATAGACCTTATATCTGTGACCTCATTGAAATTACAGGATGACCTTCAGATCCTTATTCGGACATTCGCCAGACAAACATAAACTGAGAGTAGGTAGCCCTATGAATGCTGCGCCATTGAGTCAGTGACCATTTGCGTTGGGCGCAATTGGAGCTTCCTCCCAGCCGTCTTATATAGTCCCCCCTAGGCGACGCGCCGTTGAATACCTAGCTCACTTTATAAACCCTATATTTATAGCTTTAAGGTCGAAAATAACAGGTTTTTCGCGAACCATCCGTATAGATATTTCTATAAAATATTTTGATTGTTTTTAGTATACGCCAATCGCTAAATCAGTGAATGAACTCTTGCTAATATTTTGCAGTCCTGATTCCTGTCGAAATGCAAGAAATCAATATTTATTTTTAGATTTTGCATTGAATAAATTAGAAACAGATTTACAACGCAACATGTTGTAATTGATATCTGAAGTGATGATCTTAATTAAGTAGGTTATCCATTACTTGTACGAGACACAAATTTCTTAATAAGAATCGCAAATCAACTAAATCTTTTAAAGTATCATTCTTCATCACGCATTAGTCTCACAATTTCTGTGCCTTCGAGGAAGTCTAGATTAAGTAGTTGTGTTAAATCACACTTACCACTGGCGATGTCTTACGAAGCAAGGTTCCTCTCACGTTCAATATCAACAGATGACATTGAGACAATTGTAACTCGTGGGTATTCACTCTAGTCACAATGTGAGTGACACTAATCCCTTAGTATGCAAGACCTTTAACTTATTACAAACAATATTAAGTGATACCTTTTTTATGTATGTTTTCGAGCATATTATAAGCATAAATAAATCTTCCGTGAAAAATTACCCAATTGATGATGAAAACCGTATGAAAATTCATCCAAACTATAGACGGTCGGACGTAACGGGGGGTATGTAGTGGTATATTGGTATGTGTGTGGTACCTACTGAACTTTGTATAATGTAACTTTTACTTTCTTATTTGGGAAAATGAAAAGAAATACAATAATTTAGTGTAATAAATTTGGATACATTGATAATTAAATCGATAAAAAGGTAGACCAGGAACACAGTGTAGTAATTTCAAAGATATATAAAAACATTTACAATTCCCTAAAAAAAATATTGTTATGTCTTCGTCGAAATGTCAAATTTGACATTTCGACAACGTAAACTTACTTATGTGGGAAAATAAAGTTAACAACGTAAACTTTATTTTCCCACATAAAATAACCAGCGACATTAAAATTGGTATAAAATGGATGTGTTCTCGTGATGTAGGTAAACAATGCAAGTTTCGCTACGACAACGATTATCTAATTAAAGTGTTCCTGAAACTCGGACCACTTGAAGGCAAATTGGATAATTTTCACATCACTTGCTAAATATAGATGTGATCTGTTTATTTCAAAAGCAAATAAGTAACATCACTTCCCGTCTGGAGTATATTTTACTCGTTGTTTTGAATTTTTCGTTAATCGCTATCTCTTGTGATAACTGAATTGAATTACCACCTGCAACGTCGTCTACGTGGACCTTAGAATAAAAGAGTCATTTAGGATCCTTTATTAGGGATAATATTTCAGTAAAACTAATTACAAGTAATTTGTAATAAAGTCAGTTTTATTGAAAATTCCAAAGCAACCTTATTTTTTTCGGGATATAAAGTATTATTTGTCCCAAACCAGGTAATAAACTAAAGGTATATTAGGAACAGGCCACCAGGCCGGACTCTTATTATACTTTTTTATACCTACGAGATCTCTCTGTTTTGCTTGGTTTTCTTCGGTTCCTGTCTGTTATCGTTGTTATACATTTTGAAAGTTTTCCTTTAATATATTATATATTGAGGAGCTCGATGGCGCAAGTGGTTAGCGCGTTCGGTTGAGATCGTTGAAGTTAGGCAACTTTCGCAGTGGTCGGTTATCGGATGGGCGACCAAAAATTTATTCTCTCGAGCTTCTCCGTGCTTCAGAAGGCCAGTTATGCCGTTGGTCCCGACTGCAACTGCAGTTGTTAGCACCCACCAACCTGCACTGGGCCCGCGTGGTGGGTCATGGCCCAATCTCCCTATTCCATCCATAGGGAAGGCCGGTGCCCCAGCAGTGGGGACATCAATAGGCTGATGATGTTGATATCATATATTTATCTCATTTGAGCTCTCATATTTCCCCATCCCGCCCGTAATAGGTATGTGTGCCTTTCATCCAAATCCTTTTAGTCATTGTACGTTATTTAATTCTATATATATAAAACTCAAAGGTGACTGACTGACTGACATAGTGATCTATCAACGCACAGCCCAAACCACTGAACGGATTGGGCTGAAAGGCATGCAGGTAGATGTTATGACGTAGGCATCCTCTATGAAAGGATTTTGATCAATTCTACCCCCAAGGGGATAAAATAGGGAATGAAAGTTTGTATGAAACTTTGTCAATTTTTAACCGATTGGGCTGAGACTTTGCATGTAGGTATAAGAAGAATCATATATGAATGTCATTGTGTATAATACAAGCCTGAGAACAAAAACTGTAGTCTACACTTCAGCTCTACACCGAAGCGAAGCAAGAGCGGGCCGCTAGTAACAAATATGCAAATATAAATAATTCTGTGGTGTTTCACTGCTATTTATCTTTCTTAATTAATGACAGGACTTGGCAGCTTTAGGATTTTCTTTCCTTATTTGGCACTCCTTATAATTTTAAGATTATTTGCAGTATTCACTTTAGGGCTAATATCATTGGTGTGAGTGTTGCGAAAGAGAAATATTTTTTTTACACATTATGTACTTACAGCAATGTAGAGCTTACAGAGCCACAAGTATGCCTATATTTCAATATTGAAGAAGAATACATTTCATTGGTTTGACTACACAGCCAATGGGCTGGTCACTATTACTATTATTTCTGGTATTGCACTTGATATTGTCTGCGATGATTTCTAGAACAGCTTTGAGAGCGTTGTCTGCTGCTAGATTTTGGCTATCTGCATTAAAAAGTTACTAACCAGCACAGTCTAGATTTTTCTTCCTTCCAGATTAACATTACATCCTTATAAACGATAAACTGGAAATACAATAGATAGGGCTCAATAATTTCCATTGCATCTTCCAGACTTTTCTTATCGTGTTTGAATTATTAACGTAGTCTTGATTATACAAAGCAAATACCTATATTATATAAACAGTTTCGTTGTACTAAACGATGTCAAACATTATGTTTGAGTTCAATAACCCTTACATTATATATAACACGTGGTAATTAATTTACAATATTGTAAAGAGGAAAGATTTGTTTGTTTGTAACGAATAAACTCAAAAACTACGGGACCGATTTCCAAAAATTCGTTCACCAGTAGAAAGCTACATTATTCGGGCGTAACACAGGCTATTTTATAGCATTAAAATAAATTCGCCTAAGCAAAGCCAGGGAGGATTGCTAGTATCAAAATATTGAAATAGTAAGTAGACACATTTTTTTTACAATAATTTATTGATATTATATATTGTTGGCTACGGTAGATGCTGGAAAAGTCATACAAAATGAATATTTGAATATATTTACTTCGTATAGAGCTATTATTAACTAATCAGTGATCAAAAGTACATGGGAAATAAAAGATAACTAAATTAAGCAAAGATTTTGTCATAAATATAACCGTTGATTCAATCGAACTAATTAGTTGTGGAGCAAAATTTGTGACCTGTCCAACATTCTGTTTTCTTAGCTTAAAGAGTATATGAGGACTATGATTTTTCTATCGTACCACTTAAATTGAAGGTGGAAAATAACATTGTGTCTTGTTGCCTTACCAACATTAAAAAAAAACGAGCTAGCCTTACGGTAGTCGCGTATGATGTATAACATTTGAAACCTCACCTTATATTATTAAAAAAAGAAATAAAACCTACTATAAAAGGAATAAGCCATTTGAACATTATGTTCTAAAATCAAATCAAATGGCGGACGTTTTCGCGACTTTCTGTTTCACACTTTTGCCCCATTTCACGAAATCACTCAATCAACAAATCACAAATTGCAGGAAAGCGAGAGGAAAGATGTAACACATCAATTATTTCATGCTTAGAATAAAAGCGATTGATGTAAATAAAAAAAAAGAAAATTAATGTCATGGAAACTTTTCGTATAGTCAAACTTTTTGTTGACAATGGCACGCTATCTGTAAAGCAATGAACTATTCCACTGCTGTCCAAACATCTATAATTAGCATCGTCCATAAATGACTTAAACAGATTTATATCATTAAGCCTTTTATTTCTATAATCACCCCTATTGTGCACCAAATAAAGATTACACTACGGGGAAGTTGTCGCCTACTTTGTTTGTGTAAGTTATCAGGCGCCGGCGTTTTACGTACTGTATCTGTCGATCTATTTGCAGTAGTTTTATAGTTGATGTGGTGTCAAAGAAAACAACAAAACACATGCAAACATGTGTATGCTAAATATAACCCTGTGCTAATGTCACTTGGAGTTATTTTTAGTTAGCATTGCTACGATAGCAGTAGAATGCAAGTGCAAGCAAACTTTTTCGTAATTAAGTATTATTTGTGTTTCATAGATACGTTGACACTGTGATGTGTGTGTGTTTCTATGGATTTTGGTATCTTTAGTACCAAAGTTGAGGGTCGAAAGTATTTTTGTTTTCTCATAATTACTTTGTTACCACACGAAACACCTTTACCATATTGATCCTCTTGTGCTTGGAGTGAACAGGAAATATAGAACTCCCAATTAGTTACCAATTTTGGTGAACAACCGGACAGGGTATGTTCGGAAACCCGGGTATAAATGGCCTCGTTAACAAGCGCTCTTACTTATTCTTTCTTTTTTAATACACTTTTGCTTTATAAATTTCAAACAATCTGACCAAGTTCTCGTTTCACAGATCGTCGGCTACTCCGTGGTGGTAGTAACGTTCTCCCTGCAGGCGCCCATAAGATGGGTGACCGCCCGACTGCACGGCGCGCCGCGGCTGCTGCTCGCTGACGTATACCATCTGGTCTCCTTCATTGCCACTGTTAACATCTGGCGTGGCTTCTGGGGCATGCTCGATGTCTATTTCTTTCCTGGTAAACATCTCAACTTTACTTTTTAATGTTTATGCAGGAAATCGAGCTGACACCACCTCCACCTGATGGTAAGTGGTCACTACCTCCTAAGGAAACTTGCAGCACCAACAACTCATGCGCTGCCGGGTGTGAAGGCAAAGATTTTCCCGCCTTTTGAAGACCGTCATATCATAGCTAAAATGGGAAACTGTTGAGGGAAATTCGGTCCAGATCTTGCTAGTATGCAAGAAAAAGGAACGCGCGTAACGCATGGTGCTAGAAAATCAAGCGTCCAGATACTTACTTCCTTTTTTATGTCAAAAGGGTGGGTGACAAACAGTCATTTAGCTATGGCCCGCCTGATAGTAAGCGGCCACCATGACCTATAGACATTTGCGATAACCTAACCTAACCTAACCCTTCCCGGTGCAGCCCTGGAACCTTACTCACCCACATAAATTTAACACGTTCCAAAAGGTAGGGTTATTTTTTCTGTAATTACTTACTCCATGGTAACATCATAATAAGCAACCTTTATAACCCTGATAAAGGACGCTCCATAGTACAAAGTGGCCTGTACTTTAAGCGTGCTAAATCCTGGTTGGTTTAACCAGTATTTTTTCGATTCGCTTAGAAGGTCGTCCTTAAGAATTTGCATAGCATGGTTTCTAGCGATGCTACAGAAAGGTTTTGGTCCTATCTGTGGCCCCTGCTGTTGCTAATTCATCAGATTTCTCGTTGCTGATTATCCCTGAATGAATTAAGAATAGCTCTATTCTTTTGACCCAGGTTATTCAGATTATCAACGCAGTCTTACAACAATTTCGAGCATATCGTATCGAGAATTAACTCGATACGATATGCTCGAAATTAGGCAATTAACAGCGCTGCTTGGCTATCTGAAAAAATATATATAGCCTAGTTTGTGTAGTTTCGTTGACGATTGGCTTCTGCACATTCTATGATGGCATATACCTCTGCCTGGAATATAGTAGTGTTTTCCAAGATTCACACTTTTGTTGAATCGCGGCCTTTCGCCGTATATCCCACATCCTTCATTTTGGAGCCATCTGTAAACCAGATTTGACTTCCAGCCTTGCAGGATTCATAGTGGTTTGACCTCGTTTCTCTGCTTGGCAGTTCCACTTTGTAATTTCTGGCCAAATTACTCAGTGGAAACATGACATCTGTTGTCATTACTAGTGGTGTTAGTTTAAGCGCTGTTTGGTGGAAAGAACTCAGTGCTTGAGAGTGCCAGTTCGTCCTGCGAGTAGTGCTTACACTGCATATACTTGCATTCACCTCCTTTATTATGAATAAATGAAGATGCGGTATGTTTAGCAAAGCATTATGTGCAGCACCTGGCGTGCAAGACATAGCACCGGTTGCCATAAGGCATGCTATTCTTTGCAAGCTATTCAGCTTGTTGATGTCTGTCGTTTGAGTGGCTTTTTTCTACCACACTACGCAGGCGTATGTTAACATCGGCCTAACGATGTTGGTGTACATCCACAGGGCGATTTTTGGGTTTAGACCCCATTTCGTCCCAGCTAGTCGACAGCATATTCCAAGGGCGAATTTTGCCTTTTGTATCACATTATCAATGTGATAGTTCCGCATTAAATTTTGGTCGATAGTAACGCCCAGATATATAACCTCCGTGGAGAATGGAACAGGAATTCCTATTATCCTGGGCGATGTAAGTTGATCTGACCTTCGCTTCCTAGTAAAAGGTTATTATTGTTGTTTGGTTCGGATTTACCTATAGATTGTTCTCTGTGCACTATTTAATAATGATATTCAGAGATCTTTGCAGGATAGATGATAAGGTAGTTTGACACGGACCAATGACGCAAGCAATGACATCTGCCGCGTATTCCTGTATATCTAATCCTATATTAGAGGTTTTTGTTAGCAGTTGATCAACCGCAAAAAACTACAATAGAGGCGATAAAACGCCCCCTTGCAGATAGCCACCCGTTATACAGCTCTGTTAAAGAGCATCGACTCGATCCAGCGTGACGTTGTTTTATCGATCCCTTTTTTGCTCATCCCTTTGGAATGCGTTTTAGTGGTAACGTTGTCAAAGGTCCTTCTATGTCAAGGAAAGCACAGATGGTTACTTGCTTATCTTCTATTGTCTATGTGCGAAGTGGGTGGTGGGGAACGGCAAATCGATCGTAGCGCACGACGTGGCAGAAATGTGAATTAATTCTGGACTGTCTCATGTGTCAAATTGCTTTATTTTCATAACTTCCTTTATAATTTTAAGTAAAAACGTAAAAATTGGCGATATGGGTCATAGTACATGCTGTGTCGTAAATTGTAAAAACAATGGGAAAAACAGTTCGTGCAAGTTTTATTCGTTTCCAACATCAAAGTGGACATTACAGCAAAGACAAAAATGGATAGCTGCTGTGAAGATAAAAAAGTAAGAAATTTAACCTAGTACACTATAATAATAATAATAATAATAAGCGTTCCAAAATTACAGTCCTTTTTTATTTGTTTTAGTGCTGATGGGTCCCCATGGCACCCAAAACGACATGATACAATATGCAGTGAACATTTTATTGGAGGCAAAAAGTCAGACGCAGAGGCGAGCCCTAGCTATATTCCAATAATATTCCCGTCAATGTATCGGTGTAAGAAAATTGACCATTCTCAGGTCACTGCTAGATATAAGCGTTTTATGACACGAAGATATCCGGATCAACAATTTATTGGAAAATACGAACAGAATCAGTTACCAATCGAAACAGTTACTAAAGTAAATGAAAGGGAATTTACTATGATGGCCGATAAAGGATGCCAAGCAGATATTTATAATCAGTTCGAGTTGAAAGAAACAACATTTATTTGTAATAGGTACGTTCAAAATAATAACTGTGAAGCTGAGATCCAAGTAGAAATACCAACTACTTCCAAAATTGTCACCACAAATACTCCAAAAACTAAAGATATAGGTTGTTGCACTACTACAGTTACATATAGTACCCAATCAACATCTACAAGTAGTCAAGATTTTGTTGGTATTTCATCAATTAAGAATGACCAACAACTACTAGATCTCGCCGGTGTGTCATTCAAAAGTTTTGATATTTTATTAAGAAGAATGACAATTGGGAAATGTGCAGTTTCCAAAAAGGACCGGCTTTTAATTTTTTTGATGAAATTCAAAACTGGACTGACATTTTCAGCATTAAGTGTATTGTTTGGCATACATAGAACCACAATCTCAAGAATATTTTATCATATTCTACAAGATCTAGCATTTGCAACGGCTGATTTAGTCTTTTGGCCGAATAAAGCTATTGTTCAAGCTACAATGCCTGACTGTTTTCGTCCAGCATACAGTGACACACGAGTAATCATTGATTGCACTGAATTTAGAATTGAAGTACCGACAGCAGTAGATGATCGTGTCGCTTGTTACTCACATTATAAAAAAGGATTTACTGCAAAAGTCGTCATAGGAATTACACCAGGAGGATTAATTTGTTTTAAATCTAAAGTAGCTGGTGGAAGGAAAACTGATTCTCAAATGACTGTTGAATCTGGATTAATTGACAAGTTAGAAATAGGAGATTTAGTTCTAGCAGATAAAGGTTTTCCTGAAATTAAAAAAATCATAGATACCAGTGGAAAAGAAATTAAAGTAGTTATGCCGCCATTTCTACAAAATAAAAATGAATTTACTAAAGAAGAAACCCAACAGACATATGATATTGCTCGAGTTAGAATCCATGTGGAAAGAATTATGCAAAGACTGAGAGTTTATCGAATTTTAGATAAAATTCCTCACAATTTATTTCATTGTATCGATAATATTGTACATGTATGTTGTGTATTAGTCAATTTACAGCCCTCAATTTTTGATAATATAAATAATAGTAATCGTGAATAAAACACTTGTAATTCAAAACAAAGTTTCTTATTATTAAATCAATATCGTTTTATTTATAAATTCGTATTCTTTAAAAATGAAATAACATTAAGTAGAAATAATTTGGAATGAAATCAAAAACACAACATCTACTAAAATTACTTAACATTACAACAATTGAAAATATTTTTTCCTGTGAAATCACGCTTACGTGTAGCTTTTTGGTTCATATTATTAAAGTTTTCATTATTATTGTCCACTGCAGCTGTGTAAAGTGCAGGTAAATAATGTTGAAAATAAAAACATTCGCTTTTCAAAATAATTTCCTCAATAAATTTTTCATCCCGGTTCACTTCGATAGTCACGCTGCCATTTTTAATTGGCGAATATATAAAAATATCACACATTGTCATTCCAGTCACATACATTTGTGTTTGTATTTGTGTGTAGTATGGTTTACTTTTCTTAAGTTCTAATGTGTAATTTTTAAATTCTAAATAAGTAACATTGCACAAATTAGTCTCAAAATTTACCACAGGTTTATTCTTACATGAAATTGGACATTTGACTTCAACCAATTTTATCACACAGGCATCTTTTACAACAACTCCATCTACACTTGCGCACAGCCATGGCTGAACCTTGTTTATTACTACACCCACTCTTTTCACTTCGCATTGATTTAATTTTTCGTATTCTTCTAAAGCCTTTTGTTCACATCTTAAACCATACTGAGTAGCTTCACAGTCAACTTTCTTTGGATTCAACATGTTTGATACCAAACTTTTAATACTTTTGGTAGTACGTGTTTTTATGCTATGTACATTTGTACTAGCAGATATTCTTACCTGTCTAATAGCATACCAATTCGGGCATGCCGATTGCTGAATTGTATCACAACTAATCTTAATTATATTTTCATCAGAAAGCACTATATTTGTATGGTAAAACTGTTTTAGTTGTTCATCTAATATATAATTTTTTTGGTATATTTCACATTCTTCTCTGTACATAAAAAAAAAGTTTAAACATGCAATGCAGTCTTCTCGCTCCAAATTTGACTCATTTTTGTTCAAAATTTCCTCTACCCAACTTGCATCTTTTGATTGTGCTGCTGCTTCAAGAGCTAATTTTAGAGGTGATTTTGGATGTAATTCAGCCAGCAATACTGGTTGCACTTCGTTGGAGGCGAAATTTCGGGTATGATTTGCAACTGGCGGGAACATTTCTTCGAAATATCTACCTTTAGTATATTTATTTTTGACAAATTGTCGAGTGCTGGGTTTTCCCCACTGCTGTTCGCAGCTTGTTTTTGATAAGCTCTCTTCTGTGTTGATGTAATGTATCAAAGCAGCAACATGCTTACACTTGCCACTTTGGTTGTAAACACAGTCGCACTTAACATTTGTAACAACACGTTCATCATTTATCTGGAATTAAAATAAACAATAAAATAATTAATATAAGTAAGCTGACATGAAGCTAACTCAAATATACTATTTCTATAACTTGATATGTAGGTAGGTATGTACTCACATTTAATGATGTTTTGTAGGGAGTTTGTGTCACAGACGTTTGTCTTATGATCCGAGCTCTTATTAAGAAGCTTTTCCCGTTCGTTCTAAGCTCTTCCACTTCTCTCACATGCTGTGCTAATACTAATTTTTTCCCTTTTTGCTCAGTTTGAGGTTGGAAATGTATTTTATGCTTAATCGATTCAAATCCCGTACGTATTATAATATCCATATGTTTCACGAGGAAGAAAATCGCTAGGTATAATATCACTTTTTACACTATTTTTTTCAATTTCGTTGAAAAACTAGTCGAAAATCAATATAACAAAGATATCTTATTATCTAGTTGACATGATTTGACAGATGACAAGTCCTGAATAGTTGCGGCCACTAGGGGCGCTGTCATCGCGCACACAACGAATAGCCCTATCTATTCTGTCCATTAATTATGTTAAGGCAGTTTCTGTGGACCCTTTCCCTTAAGGTTAGCATGTTGCTTTATGTGCTAAGGACGTTCTCGCAGTGGTCCGTCTCTAATGCACATATCAATTACCTTTTCTATATTGTTAAGTAGGAAGGAGGTGAGACTTATTGGTCTGAAGGACTGCGCGAAGGCCACTACTGATCCAGGGAAGTGTGTTAAGGCTAGGAGCTCTAATGCCTCTTCCGCAGTTTCAGTAAACGTTCCACTTGCTTTCTTAAGAATTCCCAGTTGATTTGTAGGCGATATAGCGAGAACTTAATGAATTCTTGCTCCTCGAGGGACCTTGGTGATCTCCTCGCAGAACTTCCTCCATGAAAGTCTGTTTGCCTTTCGTATTTATTTATTGTAACTTGTTAGAGCCTTTCAGTATCGTCCCCAACCATAGCTTGTTTTGGCTTGGTTCTTTAATACACGTTCTCTTAATACACTCAGCTTGGAATTCCACCATGGTAATTTATTAGTTCTCTTGATTCTCTCCATATGAGGCTGTTATGGCTTCAGTAACTTGATCGACAGCATATTCGAGTGTTTTAAGAGACCAAATAGTTTTAGGAATATCTTTAAACCTTACCCCGGAGGTTTTCCTTATACCGCCAATCTGTGACTTTAGCATCCCTAAAAGTAATGGTTTCACACATATTTGACGTGTTCAGCGTAAATTCAATAAGGTCAGATATAGAACTTTCATTGCTAACTTGTCAGTCGTTAAGCATCGTGACTAGATTACAAGTTGCAAAATAACAACTAGGTTTTTAATAGTATGGTACCTGATTTGTAGAAGGAATGAAAGTGTCTTCATGAGTTATCTCATATTGAAATCATTTTTCAATTTGACGACTCTGTATATAATACAGGGAGAAAAAGACATTCCTAGCAGAGTTTCTTGCCAGTTCTCCTCAGTGCAAGGTCTCCCGCCGTAGATTTGCGAATCGATGGCGTAGATTTTCAACATTCACAAGAGCTTGTAATAGACTGAATAAACGACATTGAATTTTGTTTCTGTTTAATTATATAATGTGTATAGTATACCTATATATGTGCATAGTATAGACATTAATATGACACTTAATTTTTTCCCCAGAAACACCAAAACTTAGCAATTGGACCACGCACATCGTCAGTATAGTGCTGCTGATGCTACTCAACTGCTCTAATTCGATACTGGTGCGAGGGGTATATATTGACGCGGAAGAACCGGCAGGAGAGTGCGTCGTCTTCCCGTGCCATTACCTGAGGCTGTTCTTCCACAAAGAGAGAACGAAGAAGAGGCACAAGCGGGCCCTAGCAGCAGCAGCTGCCAGAAAATCAGAAGAGTCAAATATGCCCCTACAAAATCCAGAAGACAAGGTTTAGCGGGTCTCGACTACCGCACTATAATAGAGACATTTGACGACCTGAAGTGTGGACATTAGTGTTGTGTTGTTAGTGCATATTGTTGTTTAGTTGTACCGAGATGCCCCAGTGATTGCATGGGAAGTGTACAAGGTCTTTGTTCTTGATCAGTGCTTTTAAATGAAAGTTTTATTGAAATCGGTAGAGAGATAACTCCATAAGTGAACAAAAAAGTAAGATAATTGAACTATCAATACCAAAGAGGTTTTATGAAATCGTAAGAATGTGATGTTTGCGAATACTACAAAATACATTTATGAGATTGTAGTGGAATATTTTTTGTTAATATTAAAATTGAACTCAAATTGAAAATATGATTTTCAGTCGATTAAAACAACAGTATTTTTTTGCTACTTCAGAAATGAACACGATTTTTGTGTTTTTCTGAATCATTCAGATGTCATCACGAGTGTAGATTTAGCTATATAAATGTGTATTTTAATTAATTGTAACTAAAAAGTCTATTGTAAAATACGAATGTAAGTGTCAAACCTCACACAGCGTATCGAAAAGCAATGCAAGCGGCATTCACACCACACGCAAGTTACGCGCTATATGAAACACGAAACGTTGACGTTGCACAAAATACGCTATATGTGGTTAAAGACAAACTAGGGCCACGTTTAGATGACAAAAATATATAAATTTTGAATAACAGTCACAGTACATAAAATACAATTGTTTACATGAAAGTGGACAAACGCGCGTCAACCGACTCAACCTTTGCGACCGCCGCGCCGGTTGGGAGAACACAATACACACCATGCCGTAAATCCACTGACATAGCCCGCACGCTCGCCCAAGTACCTGAGGCCTAAGCACTTATTTTGACTTCTCCATGGACGTTTCATCTTTATCAAATTTTGTGTAAAAGTAGTAAGTAAAGCCACTTTGTTTTACTTAGTTTTCATAGAAACATTGACTTCTGATTACGGAGCTGTCAAATTTCGCGCTAGGACCTCTGAAGTAATCATTTACTGCACACCTACTTCACTTCTGTAGGTCTGTGCACATTCGGCAGGCTAACGTTTACGCTAGCCTCATTACGGCGAAATTCCAACATTTAAATACATTGTTCTCATCACTATAAGCCGTCATCATAGCGGTTTACGTGTCCGCCCCCGTAAGAAAATAATCACGGCACGCGTGCTACTGGGCATTAACCCAGCGATACCAAAACAGCATTCGGAAATTATCATCAACAAAAAAATACTTAACTCGTGCCACTGATAGTTTTACGACAGGCGGTGAAAATTTTGGTATTATTATAAAACGCCGAGATGCTTTAGAAAACATTGATTTCGGTCGGGTCGCTTCAGTTAGGCACGCGTTTTCCATACTTAACTGTAAAGTCCTGTGCATATTAACGTGTCGTTTCATGTCGTTAATATGCACAGGGCTTAACAGACTGACGCTGGGCAATGGCATTCGCGGAGAAAAACGCAACCGCTCGCGTATTTAACTTTTTTTTTATTTTCCACGCGCTCTAATGTGAAATACTATTATGAATGAAACCTTATTCGATTATTGATTTTAAAAATTAACTTTTTTAAAGGAGTGTAAGAATACCAATTGTTATCCCGCTTGTTCAAAGTCATCCTTTATATTGTACAATATATTTAAAATTATTTTTTAGCTAATGTAAATAATTATCTTTAATAGGTTAAGTGAATACAACAACGTCGCCGATTGTTAGAATGTAATAAACTATTTCATTAATGTTCAGCTGCAGTTTCATTAACGTCCTTTGTGTTCTAGATATTGGAAACTTTGATGGGATCATAAAATTACTGTAACATCAAAGATCTTTGTGTAACACTACATTTTCTATCTCTTTTGATTTTAATAACAATAAGGATCGAGCCCACGCCCTAAATTTCTTTATTGCCTTCAAAAGCTTTTGTAGAGTCTGTGAAAGGTTTAAAATAACGATTATAAATAAATATGATAAAGTAAATTTTAGATCAAATTATTACAAAACATCTAAATTGTGTACTCAAAATATAAAAGAAGTATGTGAATGTGATTATTAATAACACATCTCGATGGATAATATTTTTTATCAATGAATTTATTCAATAACACGAGAGTAATTATTTTGATAACAGCAATTAAACTTAATAAAAAATCTCTTCCTTCCATTCCAAGAATAGAAAACAATAATTATAGGGCTTTGGAATAAACCACGGGTCCTTGGCCTGACAACTGACTACAAGTTTAGTTTTTACTAATGTATTGACCCTTATTCCAATGACAGTAAGGGTTTAAATATAATAAAGAGAAATGTTGAGAACTTTAGCAAATTCATTGGGTTGAGACGCCCAGAGCGTAGCAAAGATAGTGTTATCATCGTGAATTGCTATTGTTTTTGTCGGGAAAGTGAATTGGTTATTCGCTATTGATATACTTTGCTATTTTTAATTGCACAGATTTGTTGTTATCGATGATTCCATAAATATAAGAATTTTTTAAGCTAAGATAAAAGCACTGTCAATCAACGGTGCAAAGTTTTTTAACTATTCATAAGAGCAGCTTACGCCATTCAGATTTGAATTAAATATTTTCAACAACGCTGACACGATTTCATATTTCTGTTCTGGATCTACCTTGTAACTCAGAACTTTCATAATATTATTATGCATATCAGCGGATGGCATAAACTTTATTTCTAAGAAAATATTTTGGCATTCACTCATTTAGCAGACATTCAAATGCATAATTTTGAAAGCCAGAACCATCTTTAGGCATACATTTAATATCCACAATAATTAAAAAGCAGAACCATCATATCGCAGAGTTCACTGTCAGAATCGTTTTATGGCATACAAAAATTTAACTCTTTTTAGTTTATTTATGTACTATCTATGGTGACTGGCGCTTTGTCGGCCGCTGCCGCGGCAAGCTCGCTTCGCTCGCTCGGTTCGCGCTAAAATTAGGTCAACGCTAACCTAACCCAACCTACTGACCACAAATACCGATTATGCTTACCGAAATTATGCAGAATAAAATTTTGACAAAGGGGATTATGCTTCATAAATCTGCCATCTTAAAAGCATGCTATTGTGAATTCGGACATATAAACATTCGGCCAATTAATAATAATACTTAATAGAAAATATACCTTACACTTTAAAAGAAGATTGCGCCAAATGTGTTATGCCAAATGAATTTCGGAGTAACAAGAATCTGCCTGATAGAAGGAACCCTTCTGTTCTCTTATGGTCGTAGCAGACATGTCAACTCGGAATGGTTAACCGCATGGTTATGTTACGATTTCCGATGCGAAGCGATAACGTTACGATTCCGATTAGTGTGTGCTGCAGTAGAGAATACTGAACAGATTTAGTTGAAACGATAACGATCTCTTTTCGAATTGATATGTCTGCTACGAACTTTATTTTCTTAATAAGAAACGCTATGATGATGTTGACATAGAATATAAATGTACTTACATACTTATAAAAATATATCGACTCTGATTTTAAGATTAGCTTGCTCACAGATTTTGTATTTTCTAAATAAAACCAATGTTTGTTGCAGTATTCGTTATAAACACCGTGAATTATGAGTTAGCTGAGAAACTTTACTAGATTTTTTTTTCAAATAATGTCTCCACCTTAGCATACTAATTGAACAATTATGAAATCTTAACAATTTTAATTGACGTAAATTGGTTCAAATAAAACTACTTTTAGGATTTACGTACTTTAAACGGATAACAATTGCATAATAGGTATATAATTAACAAATTTGTGCCGTTTTAGGATACTTTATAATAAATATTTTTGGGGAGTGTTTTTTTAGATTTACATTATTTTTAATTTCTCAGGTAATTCAAAATTCACGCTGTACATTTATTTTTGAATAAATAATAATAATACTCAACAAATAATTATTGAAAAAACTTTAATTGATCATAAAAATATCCAAATAAATTCATAATAAATAGCCCTTAAATAATACTTATAGTACATATTTTGAAAAAAAAAACACATTAAAATTTTGATTTAAGTAAGTAACAAAATGTGCCTAATACCATATACAAATCGTATCCTGTTACAGTTACATGTTAATTGCAAACTACATGTCGATTCTGTAACATACAATCTCACTTTGGATTTCTGGATATTGTTTTAAACTTCCATGTTAAAAAAGGGATCGATCGACGGGTGCTCTTCTGGCGTACTTGACTCATGTCTGGGTGAGGCTATCGACAAGCGTGGCGAGTTATTGGCTACCAGCCTTGACATTGTCAAGGCGTTTGACAGGGTCTGGCACAAAAGCCTTCTCTCCAAGCTTCCGGCATACCGTCTGCCGGCCCAGTTCTGTTCCTGAGTGGCTGACTTTCTGCGTGAGCGTAGAATTCGTGTCCTTACGGACTGTAGTAGTTCGCGGTTCATGTCTGTGAATGCCGGCGTTCCTCAGGGCTTCGTACTATCCCCAACTCTCTTTCTGCTGCATATCAATGACTTAATACCTCTTGGGAACATTCATTGCTATGCAGACGATAGTACAGTGGTGATAGGCGGTAACCAAGGAAAAACGAAAGATCTTATCATTGAAGTCAATCAGGCTTTGGACCACATTTCTGAATGGGGTACCAAGAACTTAGTCGAGTTCAATACTAAGAAAACCCAGGTCTGCGCTTTCACGGCAAAAACATCGAAATTCCTTTCATGCCCTTCTCTTTAGGGCACAACACTGGAGTTACAGAGCAGTATCACCAAGCTCGGTATGGAAAAAAGGCAAACTCGGAGACCTGAACAAGATGCGGCGCTTTTTCACGCCCGATCAACTGTGCTTGTTATATAAGACGCAGGTGCGGTCTTGCGTGGAATATTGCTCGCACCTCTGGGATGGCTCCGCCAAGTACTTGCTCGATGCTTTGGACAGGTTACAGTGGCGTGCGATCCGCATCATAGGCGATGAGGAGGTGACTAAACACCTCGAGCCTCTTCAAT